ACCTCATCTATTTTGTGTATTTTGTATTTGCTGCCTATTTGTAATTGTGTTTTAGAGAATTTAAAGTTATCATTTATACTCCTTTGTGTACTTGTGTGGAAATGTACAGGACCACAAAGAACTTAAAGGAACAAAATAAACAATATGCAAAAAATTCATTCCTTCAGTAAAATGCTTAGGATATTAAAACAGTATCACAATGTCTAATAATGTGCACTTGGCAAGTCAATATTAAAATTAACAGCTTTTCAGGATAGAGAGGCATGGATTTATTGAGGGTACTTCTAACTCCCACTATTAGCTGGTGGAGTGTTTCCACATCGTATGTCTGTGGCTAAACAAGAGTGATGAACACTTGTGGCAGCATGGACTTTTTGATTTCTACAAAATGCATCGAAAAGTTTCAATATCTTAATTGTGAAGGAGCATGACACATCAGATTTCCAGGGCATGGTAATTTTAGATGTTGTTGAAAGTCCCTTTTGAATTTATCCATTCCCTCCCCTTTCCCCCCTGCATTCTTACTTTCCTTGATACTTTGGCTATATTTTAGCTAGTGAAAAGCTGGAGCAGTGGCAGGATAATTTGATGCAAAATCAGCTGTTTAAACTTCACCAGAGATGCAAACTTTTTAAATGGGCCCAGTCAGATGAACTTGTGCTGAGTTTTCAGTACATACAAATCATGCTGTTTTCATATGTAAAGGTGTGTGATAAAACCAGACTTGAAGGAGTTTAAGGTTAGATATAAGCTTTTGGAAATCAAGTACAATGTGAAAATTGGTTACTCATATGCATAATGATGCAGTCTTGATCATGCATAACTCTGTGGTTTTGGGTTGTCTTCTTCCCAGGGTCTCTGTCTTGTTATGTACAGAATAATAGAGTTTATCTGATGATCAGCTTCCCCCCCCTTTTCTTTTTTTTTTTCTTTTTTCTTGTTTCTTTTTTCTTTTTTCTTTTTTCTTTCTTTCTTCCCCCTTACTGTTTTCATTGTGTAACCCTGTGCCTTACTATGAACCACACAGATCAGGATCTGAGGGTGAAGTTATTTTCCTCTTCAGCTTTTCTGCAAGACTCATTGCTACAGTATTTCCGTGCTTCAGGTGTTAATTGATTTTCATAACACCCTACTGAGATTGGGAATTATTATTAACCAGGGAAATGGAGCACAAGGAGATTGAGGTCAGAAGTACTACTCAGTTTGAATGCCAGGCTTGAGGCACTTGTGACCTGTTTTTTCTGGTTTGTGTTTTTTTTGTTCAGTATTCGCATAAAACTCTTGAATTCACTTAATTGCAACTGTAAGTAATCCTGCATTTCTCCATATTGAGTCAACAGCTGTAATACAGGCAGCTGTATAGCAAGGAAAACTCAGGTGACCACTCACAGAGTTCTTTGGATAGGTGATGTGTCTGGTTTTGTGTAAGTAATATTGGGCATTAGTGGGGAAAGGATCTGAGTCTTAACACAGCACTGGGATTTTATGCCCCAAGAGATTTTTCTTTCTTAAAACATTCTTCTGGCTCATACCATACTTACTGTTGAGTTCTTGCCAAAAAGGAAGCAAGTCTGTACCTACAGGAGTCTCTTCTGCTCCCTAACTATAATTCATCACCAGAATGATGACATGACAACAAATGAGTAGAGGTCTTTTTTTTTGGAGTGTGTGTAAAATGTTATCAGTTAAAAAGTAATACCTGATGTATGTGGATAAAGACTGCCCTATATTTTTCAATTTTGAGTGCCTTTGTACCCTTAATTTTCTTTTGTCATTTATTTGATAGAAACTGTTCTCTGTTCTCTTCTGTATTTCTATGTTAGTCTGCCTTCTGGCATTAAACATCCATATTCAGCAGCATCTTAATAGTTGAAAATGGCAGCAGTTTTAAGGAATCAGTATTCCAATACAGTTGCTTCACAATTGCAGATGTTTAGTTGTTTTAGAAGTGAGATGACTGAAAGCAGAGAGCTTGCTCAGTAGGATGTCAGCTGTCATATAGTTGACATATGAAGATGATTCTTTTCCTCAGTAGAATATTGTTTCTCTGAGTTGGCAGCACGAAAATGATTATCAGAAGTGAGAAAGATCATTAGAACGCTGAATGCTTTGAAAGCCATTTCACCTTAGCTTTTTTTTCATAATAAATTAACTAATCATGACTTTCTGAAGAACAAAAATCCCCTGAAAACCTACATTAGGATAACTGTAAACTCATCTGCTGTGGTTCTCCTGAGAACCGTGCCATCAAAAAGCTCAGTCTGGAGAAAGGTAGAAACATAGCCAATTTGTAAAAAAGATATTTAAGAAGTAATTCTACATAGATTTTCATTCTAGATTGATGTCCTGTTTTTGTTAGATCATGGGTTTATTGTATTTCAGGTGGGTGTTGTCCTTTGAGAAGGAGTTAATTCTCCTGTGTTTCAGCTAAATTTTATTTTGGGTCCATTTAATTGTTTTTCTTCAGTTTTTTAGAAGCATCTGTTGTTACTAACACTGAATGAAGACTCTGCTTCAGGCTCCTTTTAACTCAGTAAAAGTTAATTTGCATTTGGGCCTTTACACATATCTTTGGTCCTACCTCTGACATCTGCTTTGTCAACTTCTGTATGCTCAATTGTACACTGGCCTCTCAATTAAAGACAGAAGTACAGGGAAGTCAAATACAATCTCCCAGGTTGACAGAAAAGTGATATATGTGTGCTGGATGTGGTCGTCTGCCTGTAACTATTTAAAATGCCTGGGTCTTTTCAAATTTGGCCTGAAGAATTAACGTAACATATTTATAGTGAGCTCTGTAACTACCCTATACCAGTAGATCTTAAATTCTGTTTAAGGCATTTCTTCATAGTGTAACTAAGTTGTCAGATCAGTCAGGGAGGAAGACTGCAGTTATTTAAACTCTTTTGTGTTTGCAAGCCATGTAAATGAAAATGTTCATTAAAGAAGTCTAATTAGAGAACTGCTTATTATTAATTTTTTATTATTATTCTGTGTTTTGTTGCATGTGATTTAGACTGCTGTTAGTTTTGGTTGCATAATAAAAACATCACCTCTGTTTGTAGGTTTTCCTTTTCATAGTACAGAACAATATGCCTGGTATGTTGCAAATACAGATCGAATTGTTTTCTAAAGATGTTGTACTGAAGGTGTTACTGTGAAACAAAAGGAAAGCAACAGATGAGATCACTGAAAATTAAGACATTGTAAATGGATAAATGAATGATAGCAAAGATTCAGAGAAGTTGTGAACTTTAGGGAGAAATTTGTGAGAGAAAAAAAGAGGAAGACTTCTGTGTGCAAGAGCTGGAAGATTGTGCCAGGTGCAGAGAGGGATGGGGAGAAAAGAAGAAGCCATAGTTTAGCATGGACAGTGGAAAAAGTGGAAGGAAATGAGAACGCAGATGAGAATAGAAGATAATTAGATTTGATTTAAAAAAAAAAAGATAACTAGGTTTGATTAAAAAAGACCACCACGTTTTTGTGGTTGTTTTTTTTTTTTAAGTTAAATTTGAGATACTCAATTGAATGCTGTTAGAAAAGATATTGAAGTGATGTTTATGCACATTATGACTTTAGCTATTTTGTAGCTGCCATTATAGTGGAGAACTATAATGACTGGTTTTGATCTCTGGGGTAGCCTGATATAAGCCAGGGTAATGTGTTTGTGTGTATTTGTTATGGATGGCCCCAGAAGGAAACTGTACTTAGTAATTGCTGTGAACTTCTGGTTAAGCCCCTGCAGGCAGCTGTGTTGCTTTATGAGAAAAAATTTTTTACAGTGAGGGTGGTAAAATACTGGCACAGGTTGCCCAGAGAGGTGGTGGATGCACCATCCCTGGGGACATTCAAGGCCAAGCTGAATGTGGTTCTGGGCAACCTGATCTGGTTGAAGATGTCCCTGCTCATTGCAGGGGGTTGGACCAGATGACCTTTGAAGGTCCCTTCCAACCCAGACTGTTCTGTGTTTCTATGGCATAGGCTCACTGTAGAGTCTTTATGGCATTAGGAAACCACCTAAATTTGGGAGTTTCCTGGTTGCTGACTCCAGCAGGTGTAAAGAAGCTTTTTTATAGAGAGTCGTGGATTACAAACTGCACTGTGAGGATTTAAAAGCTTTTGTGTAATAAAGGTATTTTCTAATTAAAGGTATGCAGTACTGTAAGCAATTGCTTCTTTGTCTAGATGTCTGGGGAACATGATGTGTCAGTTGCCTAAATCTGGGCATTTAATGTAATTTTAGCTGCCTTTGTACATTAAGATCATCCACATGGAGCTTTGCAGACATGATGCAGCATTTACAGCAGACTTGTATCCTCCTGCAGTGGCAGCTGCTTACCATGCAGGATAATTATCAGGCTTCTAAAATGGCATCTGACACCAGTGTTTAGGCACCTGAACTTATCCTTGGTCGCTAGTCAATGTAAAAATAGAACTGAATTGGAGATGGTAGCAGGGAAATATAGGGGTTTCATCTGAAAGTATAACGTTTTCTGGTACTTCCTCTCTTTTTTGTTCTTTTGAAGACCAATTAATGGTGAATGTTGAATGTTCCTAAGTAATAGTTCTGATTTGTAATTAACATGGTTTTTATGGTAGACTGATATACATCTTAAATTAATACTTCTGAGCTTGCAGGAGAGAGACAGTCTTAATTTTTTTTTTATTTATTTTTTTTACTCCCTGTGATACAGTAAGCATATGTCCGATGGTAAAAATGCACCTGCAATTGGATAACTAGTAATTTCCTATGAGTTTTAAAGTTGAACTGTAAGCCTGAAGGACAGAAAACGTGCCATGTCACTCTTGTTAAACTGTCAAATTGTTACTGCATATGAGACTGGAGGATTTTCAGTTTCTTCTCAAAGCATTTTTGGAGGATGAATCAGTAAAGCAGTTACCTAATTTATCCATGTTGACTGCACATTGAATTTTATATTCTGTTATGTTTGACTACACTGTTACTGGGCTAATACATTGGAATTTTTCTTTTCTTACAGGATTCTGCTCAAGAGAGTGTCATTACACGAGATATTCATCGTACATTTCCAGCACATGATTATTTCAAAGATACAGAAGGCGATGGTCAGGAATCTCTATACAAAATCTGTAAGGTACGGTCAGTACTCTGAATTTTAAAGTGTGTTCCATATTTTGCTATGACTGTATTTTGCCCTGCTAACCATGTTCTGATCTAAGTCACTAATCAATAGTATTTTAAAGCTCTATTTAGATAGCATGTGGAGAGTGCAGTGTCTCTGCAGTACTGGATAACCTGAAGTATTTTCAATAACCTTGCATTTTGTATCTCCTAAGATGAATATGAGAAAAGTTAGGCTCAAGTGATGTTTACTAAAGAGCAGTTTGATAGCAGAGGTCCGCTTCAGTGTAAGTGTGATGCAGTAAAACTTTTTTTGCTTTGATGGCAGAGAGGTTTCCAAAGGAAGAGAAACCCTCAGAGGAAGCTCTGTTGTGAAATTAAGCAGAGTGTCTCTAAATAGTTATCTAGAAAACAGGCCAGCTGACCATTCAACAGGCAATGTGTGTGCATAAATTTTCACTCATACCTCTCAATCACTTCTGATCAAAGAAAACTCTATTTTTTTTCCAATTTGCACATGGAGAAGTTGAGGTAATAAATGAAAAGATTGGTCCAGCTTGTACAGACTTTCATTGCTTAGGAGAAATGCCGAAGGTAGAATATTGCAACAAAATAGGTTGTTCTGTGGCTATCAGTTGCAAATTTTATTGTGTTTCTGGCAGTCAGTTTTCATTTTACATTTATTTCTACATGTAGAATAAATGATTGCCTTAAACAAAGCCATTTCCACTTCTCTTCCTTTTTCTTGTTACTCTCTTTCCACCTCCAGTTGATTAATAGACAGAAATGATGGAGTTGTCATAACAAGTAGAAAAGAGTGTCCTGCCTTTGGAGTATAATGATACATGTTCCTGTTCTCCAGATAAATTATGTGATCATATAGACTCCTATTAAAACAGTAATTTGGATGACTTCAATATATCTACATAGTTTATATACATTGAAGTTCACTGTCATGAGTAATTCACATTAGGGAAAAAAAAAAGTAAAAATAAAGGAGCATAGAGAACTTTGAACCAATTATATTGATTTCTTACCAACCTTGGAGGGCTCTAGAAGGCTACGAGAAAGCAGTTCCTGTGCCAATCTTTGAAAAGAACAACTAGGACAATGCAAGTATTTGTGGGCTTGCAGTTTGAGATCAGTTAAGTGAAAAATTATGGACTAGCATTCAATTTATCAAGAATTAAATGTGAGAAGCATGTTACAATGAATGCCCATGAGTTTACTGAAAATAGATCTTAAAGCTAATACAAAAAAATAAGATAAAATACAGGTTTTGTTGGTGAAAGTATTTTTATCAAAATCCTGTATGTCACATAGTTTGCTATGCAAAAAATGTATACATGCTGGACAAGTCAGGGCGTGAACAAGATACGCATTGAAGAATTAACTGGCTAGCTATCAGTTTACTAAACATCAGCACTGAAGAAATGTATCTCAGACAAGGTGTCGTGATAATCACTTGTTCATTAGATGTACTCTGCTTAGTCACCTAGGAGAAAATAGAAAAATAATTTCTGATAAAGATGTCTTGATGACACAGAGAAAAAGGGAATGGTAAATAATGAGATATTAAAGGATGTATAGATAGATGAATCTTGTGTAGGAATAAAATGACTTGAGTAACTCCGTATTTTACAGCTGCTTCAGCTGCTTTTGAATACTGTGTCCAGAATTAAAGACAATTACTTCTGCACTGGAAAGAGTCTGTAGAGCATGATGAAAGGATTTGGGCACATACTTCAGAAAGAAAAGCTCTTTTTCATGTATCTGTCTATTTTTCTAATAAAGAGAAGAAAAAGGAAAGAATCTGAGCTAGAAGCAACTTCAAGGAAGTATCTGTCTAGCAGGCATTTTCACAGAGATCTCAGACCTTCCTGGGTTATCTGTAGTCAAAGTGAAGAATTCTGCTCGTCTTCCAAAGCTTGGGAGCCTTCTCTGCCCTCTATGGCTCTTGCAGAGAAAGTTGCTGCAGATACTGCCTTCTTTTCTAGAAGGATCTTGAAGCCGGGGAGCATTTCATCCCAACTTCCAAAGAGGAAGTCAGGCAAAACCACCGGGAGGCCTGTGTGAGTGAACATTTAGCTCCTGAACAAACTCAAAGCACAAAAACGAAGCCTGGAGAAGGTGTAAACAAGACAGGTAGCCTGGGTGAAATGCAGGGTAATTGTCAGAGCAGCCAGGGATGAGCTTAGGATTTATTTTTTTTTGTGTGCTCATTGGTTCAAAGAAGGATTTGGGAAGCACATATTTCTCTTAGAACAGCCATATCCAATCTTTAACATTACATTATTTATAAGTTTACTGATTTTATTCTTCTACCTACTTGCCAGTATTGAGATCTATGTAGATTTATAGGCAGCAACTTTTCCTTCATCCTTGCACTGTTTTCTTAAATGGGTATGGCTCTGTTCTGCAGATGATGTCCAGCTGGGTCTGGCTGGACCTTGATTTATGGTTGATGTGGTGAGTTTTAGAGAAATATTGTTAAAAGCTAAGCAATTTGCTTATAAACTCATCATTCTGTTGGGAAAGAAAATAATCTTTGCTGAAAGTAATATTGTGGCTTCTTTATATTACTAGAAGAACTTTTAACAGAGCTGCTGTGCACTCATCCTTCTGCTAATATTAAAGCAAGATATTTGAAGAATGGGGTTATTGAATAAGGCTAGAAAAGGTCTGTCCTCAAGTGGGAGGGTAAAAAGCTGAAGAGCATTTTCTTCATTCCCCACTGAAACGAGGGATGATCTGAGCTGTCACATAAAAAGGAAAGCCATTAAAAGCTCACTGCCTCATTTTAACGGGTCTGTCAGTTTTAGTTCCATCTCTTAATCCCTTCTTCAGAACAGTAGGAAATCAGAAAGATGGAAATTTTTCAGTTGCAGAACATTTATGTGACAAGGTATCTAAAAATAAAGTTAAGGCTGACAATCGTGATAAGGAATGAAAAGAGTTCTAGATTATAGATTGGAGATTTCATTTGAGGGCATCACATAAGCTAGATTTGCAGAGAGAAAACATATTTTGGAAAATAGTTCTTTCCTTGCAAACTTTCTGTTTAAATACTATGTGAATTCTTGCTCTGTTTAAAGATCTCATTTGCTGCATTACAGTGTGTAACAGAATAGTACTCTCGACCTACTTCCATGCATACATATGTAGTTAACAGTTCGATGCTCTAGGGGATCAAAGCATTTGGCAGAATTGGCCCTCTCCACTGTTTGGAGTGAATGCAGTGCAGGATTTGACATGAGATGTGTTTTGTCTAATTTTGTGATTAAAGTAACTCCTGTTTGACAAACAACCACTGTGACTTTAATACGAGAAAGGGAGTATGTTTCAGGGAAATCAGTCGGGTTAGGAAGGTCAGTGTTCTTACTGGGAAAACTGGAGAGATAGTCACAATGCTTCCCTTTTTTTTTCCAAAAATGTTTGAATTGCTTTTCAAAGCTGGTGTCAGTGTTTTACAGTACACAAAGGCGTTGTAGACGGATATGAGTCATTTGTATTATGACATATTTTGTTACTGAATACTTACCTCCTTGGTTGATAAAATGTGTAGGTTTTTCCTAATACCAGTCATACTTTCCTTAAGGTTTTATATACAGCATCAGTGTGATAACTGGTTTACTGTGAAAAGAAACACCCTATTTTGGTCACCGTTCCAATGTGACTGTTGATACCCGTATTAGTAAAAGGAATAATACACAGTTTTTCTAGCAATGCTAATATTGAATGGGCTCCAGTATGTTATTGTTTTGGGGTTTGGGGCTTTTTTTCTGCTTTCTTCGCTGTATATGCTGAATGTGAAAATGTCTTTGAATCCCTTTTCTGTGACCAACGTGTTCTATACCAGGATAAGCTGCAAATGATGGCTTATTCTTCAGCTCATCCTTCAGCACTGTGGAACTGCTACTTAGTGCTGTCCTTTAAGCTGTTTGTCTTCCTTTCTTTTACTTACATTTTAATTTCAATTTCATTGCATCTTTCTTTCAGATGATCACCTCTTCTCAGCATGCACGAGTTCTTCCATATTTTTCAATCCGTAGTATCTCCTCAGGTTTACAAATGGGAAGTTTCCGTATTTGTCGAAGTTGGTTTAATTATTTGTCAGAGAGCAGATTTTCTTTCCTACAGGAGCGTATTTGCCAATTTTAGAATAAACATGGGTGCACAAATGGAATCAGTTAAGAATTATTTTTATTTTTTTAAATTATTTTCTTTCCCCTGCATTGAAGAGTAATTTTAGTAAATATTATTGTCTTGTTTCATGCAAAGGATTTTTCAGGTTACCTTGCCTTCCTTCATTTACATATTAATAAGGTCCTTTCTTTGTGCATCTGTGCTCAGCGAGGAAGCAGTAGTACTCTTCTTGCATATCGTGTTTCTGCTGAGAGTTTACTAGTGAAAAGGTCAGGATTGTGAATCTTGAATGCTGGCAAGAGAGTAAAGGCTTTAGTATGTTCAGAAGCCTGCCTGAATAAATGTGAAGATTTCTTAATTCTCTCGGCCCTTCTAGCTGTGGAGGAGGCATATTGTATAGCATACACGTGCCTCTCTCTGATACTCAATTATGAGTAATTTATAAAAATAGTTTTCAGTTAACAGAGAAATCCCTTGTATAATGTGATAGATCCTAAATCCTGCAGTCTTAGGAATATTATTACTTACAGGCTGTTAGCCTTATAATAAATTGAGTTAGAGTTTTAAATTATACAATCACTAAAATTATTCAGCAACCAAGTGTGTCATAAAATACCTTGTTCAGTAAGAAGTCTGCATCAAAATATGAATGTTTTACTGAGATAAGTCTGTTTTTCAAATACCCTGTAAGTCTTTTAACTGTAGTAAAACGGACTTCTGCACAGACGTATGCCTGTAACAAACATTGAGTAGATTCAAAGATCATATCTATCATTTTGATAGTGACACAAACATAAGTAATGAGAACAAATCAGGCTTGTAATTCTCCACCCAAAAAAACTTGCATTCAATTTCTGTTACATTTTCCTTTTTCCTGGGACAGAGATGCTGGATATCTCCTATGGCTGTTAACAAGTTTTGTGCCAGTGTGCCTGTTGCAAAGAAGGGAGCGTTTCCTGTGCCAGGAAACATTACTGACAAGAGAGATACTGTTATTGCAGATGAGAGGTGGAGATCTGTACAGCCTCTGCTCTTCCCTCTGCATTGCTGCAAAAGCGTGTGGGGGAATGTGAGCTCTGGAAGTGTAAGACCTTTGTATGAGGCAGACACTGCAGAATTTTTTTTTTTATGAGCTCTCTTTGGTTTCTTTCGTAGTTGTAATGTTTAGTTTCCAATGTCATTGAGTTACTATGATTAAGGAAAATGGACAATGTGATTGCAAGCTTTTATTTGCTAGTTAGTGTTTTGCATTTTGTTGTTTTAAGTACATTAGAATTTTCCATAAGTAAAAGCAATAATTTTCATGCTTATGAGGATGCGAAATCATGAAGAAGATTTCAGTCTGGAATTTCAAACGTATTTTCTTCCTTTTTTAAAGCTGCTGGGACTCATACACAGTAGTTGCAGAAAACAAAAATATGAGGTTTCAAATTCAAATCAGCAAACTTTCCATATGTCTTTAGTTGCTACTTAGAATTTTTCTGTCTACAGAAGATTCTGATCTTGGAGATTTTCCTTCATTAATTATTTTAAAGAAGAATTTCTGTGCATCTCTGGATTCTTCATGCACTTTCCCAACAGGCGATTCTCTATCATTAGCTTTATTTGAAGAGACTCATTATTATTCACTTCCTAATGATGTTGTACAAATTAACTGCATAGTAGTTCTTCTCTTCAAAAGACAGATAACTATTACATAGATGTTCTATTCTGTGAGATGTTCACTTAGTTAAAATAAATGAAATCAGGCTTCAAGTCAGAATCTTCATTAAGTCCCATTTATGAGACAGAGAATATTTAACATATCAATTAACTAGAGAATTGTGATTGAAAATTCCCTAAGAGCTTAAGAAAATAATAAAAGACTGCATCATTGTCACAGGTTGTCATGAGGAAAATCCCGTTCTCTTGAAATTACAAAGTTACCGTGACTGCAGTAGAAATAGGGGATTTGGGATTTTGCTGCTTTTTTTTTTTTTTTTTTTGTATTTCATGTGGAAAGACAGAGTTAATGTTCCCCAGTCCCTTAAAAAGATGAATGTTAAATAATTAATCTTAGATCTTTTGTTAATAATATATTATGGTGGTATCTGTAGGCAGCATGCTTAGTTTTAAGACTATTTTGGTTAATGACATCGTATTTCAGAAATACTGTCCCAGAGGTTACTTAAAACTAAAAAAGTATAATTAGAAATGTAATATGCATAGAGCCTCGGAAATTTCTTTGCTTGGGGCAAATACAATGAAATCATGTAGATTTTAGAGACTTCATGAAAATATAAAGTCTTTAGTTGCCAGGATTACAATGCTTTGACTTAACAACAGAATCTTTCTGTTTGATCTAATTCTCATGCAGAACTGAAGTACCCAAATATCTGATAACAGCTGCTTGTGAAGATCAGATTTTGGGGAAGGACCTAGTGGAAAATAATTTTGAAGAGCAAGCAAATCAAGCAGTTAATATTTTTTTTCCATGGTTTTTGATTGCTTCAAAGATTTCTTAACAATGCCATCCTTTTACTGAACCTTTTTCTCTTGATATGTTCTATGTATATCTGTGTCCACTAATCAATTTGAATGTGGGGTTTTTTTTAAGAAAAAAAAAAAGAATAATCAAGTACATACTGTAGTTCTGCGGATCGCCTCTTTTTACAAATATTTTAAGTTATTCATCTTCTGATTTAATCAGTCAATGAATGATTTACCTGTTTACTTCCAGCAGCCCCCTTTTCCCCCACCGCCCCAACCTTTCGGGGTGAACACTGCCTGTTCTTAATAAATTTTTATTAATCATCTCTTCTGATACTCAGAGATCTTTGAACACATCCCTTCTTAAAAATGGTCCGAGCAGGATGACAACCCCTGTGATTCTTCTGTAATAAAACAGACACGAGGAAAGTTCACATGGATTTTCTGCTACAGATTAAATACAACTTTTCTACCTTTATCATATATTTTCCCAGTAGAGGCTTCGTCTTCCTGCTCTGGATGTGTTTCAAACAGATTGATTACTAGGTTTAATGTGTTTAGGAAGTTGATTATGGGAACAGTTCTTGGTCTTCCTTCATAATTTTATATTTAACATGCAGAGTGAGGATTTTCTTGCACCCTCATAATTTTCCCTCTTCTGCCATTGTTTTGACATCTTTCACAATCTCAAAAGGAGTATAATCTTATTTCTGGTAACTTTCTGTATTTTTTTGAGGCAGTTTGTTCCAATGTGTTGCTTTCTCAATAGTTATTTGGAAACTTGTTTGGGTTAATTGATTGCAGTTTTCAGCAAATTTGTTAGTTACTGTGCTAATAATGTTTCTCATGTTTTCATAATTTACTATACATTTTTTAGCCTGGATTATTATTGGGCTTTTTGTATGTAGAGTAAAAGCGTTGTTATATATAATGAAGAAATCATAAGTCAAATTTATTATTTATAATGCTGTATATCTTTTTCCAATAGAGCTCTCCTTTCAAAAGCCGGAATAATACATTTTTCAGGAATGTTATAGAAATAAAATAGTAGGCATCCATAAAGTAATAGATTTTGAGAACAAGGACATGAAGACTCACGATGATAATAATTAACCAGTGGATGGTTCTAATTGGCCATACGCAATATTGATTTAAGTGTTGAAAGTATTTTCTGTTATTTCAGGGCTTAGTAGCTAAAGATTTATTTTAAATTAACTTTTTTCCAGGAGAGCGCCCCCTTTTTCTTCTTTTCTCAATTCAGAGTTTTGTATCTGCTAATGTACATTTCTGGAGTTGCTTCTATATTTTATTTTTGTAGCTAGAGCTGGTTTAAACTAGTAAGTAGACTGTAATCATAGAATCGTAGGTTGTGTTGTAAGGGGCCTTTAAGATCATCTAATTCCAATCACCTTGCCACAGGCAGGGACACCTTCCACTAGACCAGGTTGCTCAAAGCCCCATTCAGTTTGGTCTTAAACACTGCCAGGGATGGGGCAGCCACAGCTTCTCTGGGCAACGTGTGCCAGTGTCTCACCATGCTCACAGTGAATAATTTTTTCCCAGTATCTAAGCTGATTCTGCCCTCTTTCAGCTTAAAGCCATTCCCCCTTATCCTGTCACTACATGTGCTTGTAATAAGTCCGTCTCCAGCTTTCTTATAGGCCCCCTTTAGGTACTTGGAAGACTGCTTTAAGGTCTCCCCAGATCGTTCTCTTCTCCAGAATGAACAACCCCACCTCTCTCAGCTTGTCTCCATAGGAAATGTGCTCCAGCACTCTGATCATCTTCATGGCCCTCCTCTGCATGTGTTCCAACAGGTCCATATCCTTCTTACATTGGAGGCCCCTGACCTGAACTGAGCTGTAATGGTTCTTTAAAATTTTTATTATTTCTTTTTCAGTAATTTATGGGATTAGTCATCTTGTATTTCCTTGACTACTGAAACTGAGCAATGGATTTGGGATTATTTTCAATCAGGTTCTCACTAATCCTATCTGATTCAAAAGAATGGTGAAGAATACAGATAAATGACAAAGACCTGTAAGCCATAGTTCAGTTTTCACAAAGCTACAAATGTATTAGGACATGTATGGATGACTTGTTTATAAACAATTTTCAAGGAATACTTAGATTATATTCTTTACAGAAATCTCATTTTTGGGAATCATTGCAGAATTCTATATGAATGTTTTATTTTTTTCATGTCACATTAAAAAAGAAAGGTGGTTTAAATACTTAAAAAATGTTCTGGCCTCTATTTCAACATTTCTGGCAGAAATTATTTGCAAGTATGTTAATTCTGTTGGCTGGAAAGGAGTTGCATCTCTTTTAGAGTCCCAATTCTTCTTAATTTTTGAAGGGGCAGCTTAGCCAATTTTTCAATATCATACTATAGCCAGGTGGGTTTGGCTCCCCAGCATACCTGACATTGTTTATTCACAGTCCCTCTGTGCTTTCATTCAGTGAATTTGCAATCTTGATTTTATTCAAGACTTAAAAAAAGAATATAAGCACGGTGTTCCAGTTCTTATCTGTAGATAGTCTTGGAGATGCTGTGAGGGCAGGGTAGATTTTCTGATTCATGTTGCTTGTTCTTTCCTATAACTCTGCCCATGTCCTTTTGTTTTCCCTGACTGTAACCCTAGTCCATTGCTTATCCTCTCAGGACATCAGTCCTGCTGCTTATACTTATTCATGTTTCCTCAAATTCTTAACATCCTCCGACATCTCATTCAAAACAGTATCTGTCTTCATGTCTCAGAAAAGGGGGAAGGAAAGGTTGGTTAATTTAGGTTTGTTTCTTTTTTTTTTTTTTAAGAATTAAAAAAAATAAAAAAATTGTGTCAGTCCTACCATAGGAAAATGAATATTGTTCCCTCTCCAACATAACAAGGACATGGAAAAACAGTTTCTGTTGAAATTTGCAGGCTAGAGTAGTTCTTGGTGGTTATCTGACAACCTCAGGTCCTATACTTCATGATGTCAGAACTTGTTTTTCCAAAACCAAACAGGCATGCTCCCCACAACACAAACTAACATGGATTTTAGTTCGTATTTCTTATTAAAGCTGTATCATTACTCAACTCAGCAGAATTATCCTTGATTCAGGTGGAAGGAAATTGCATCCAATTCCTTTCATGCTGTTAAAAATATAAACATATTTACATATATGGCAGCTATGGAAGATTGAGGGTGACCTACAAGTGTTTCCGTAAATTCCCTGAAAGCCAAAGAAAAGCTGGTTACAGTTTCACTCCCTTTATTATTTTAGCCTGCATAGTACTACATATTCTGAATAGTCATTGATTATAACACATTTTGATAATGTCTGTGTGTATTTTAAATATGTATTGACTTCTATTTTTTCTAGGCATACTCTGTCTATGATGAAGACATTGGCTATTGCCAGGGACAGTCTTTCCTTGCAGCTGTGCTTCTACTTCATGTGAGTTAATTGCAAAATGAAAGCTTTGATGTTTGAAACCAAAGGAGCTTTGAAATAAGTAGTACTGTAACATGCTATTTGACAGATATTTACTGTTATTTATTTGTCTGTATTCATTTTCCTCTTGTAGCTTTTTGGCAAGTAATGACTAATGGCTTCTATCTTGATGAATATAGATTTCCTTTATCTAGGATAAATCCATTAAATTGTCAAGTACTTCTGTGTCAAAACCTGAAACTGATATGTTATGTTAATATTTTAATTTAGTTGTCACATAGGTGAACTCCCTTTGTTTTTATGGGGAATTTAACTTCGGGAGATATTTTCAGAGTCGCTAACCAGAGAAAGCAGTCTCATTAATTTTCAGTGTCAGCTTTCTTCTAGGCACATTTTATAATGCATTTTGGATGAAAGCTGAGTTTTAACCTTGATATTTTAGCCTGTAACCAAAAACTGTACAAACTTTGATCTGTTGCTTGCTATATATACATGTGCATGTATGTATAGAGATAGATAAATACACCATTTTTGTATTTGCAAGATGCTTTAACTTTGTAACAGTGGAAAGGCAGCAGATTCAAGTAGTGCGTGTATCAGGCTTACTCTTACTCAGGCTCTTACCTGCTTTTTTCTGTCAGGCTTTAATTAAGAAATTATTATTCATGGTTCAAATAAATTTCAGATTATGGTTTTGAGTCAGCTGTTGGTGGTATATATGTTACACATACACTTCCTAAGGCACTGAGAACTCAAATTCAGATTAATTTAAACTGTAATTCCTAGTGAGATGTATGACTGCTTGAAGACTTCAGGAGCACGATACGCAGTGGCAGTGTTACAGAGAAGCTTTAGATTCTTTAAGGATAAACCTGAATTACTCATATTATTACAATTCCAGATAGACTGTGAATTAGTTTATCAGTTATTTTGCAATTAACTTTTCACCCAAAGAAGCATTTTTAAGTTCCACTGGAAGAATAAGCCATTTTCAATACCAATGTAGTTTAGAAATGAGTGGGTGTCACATTCTTAACATTTGACTAATACTTCAGCTACTTTACTTGTGTTCTGTCATTGTTATAGAGAGTTACCTCTGTTTCTAATGTTTCTGGAGTTAGAAAAGATTGCCCTGTACACTTAAAAGTGTAAATGACAATTACACTCCTTTTAATATGCCCTTTATAACATTTGCTTTCATAATAGGATATTAAACTGAAATAATCAGAGAAAGGGGGGAAGGGGAGCAGTCTCAATGAGCACATGTAAGTTGGGAGCTTCCCAGGATGTCCTCAAATTCTCCAACCAGTGTGTATGCTGTGAATGCTTGCAAAACTCTCTTCACTCTTCTATATTTGCATGGCTGTCTAGACTCCTTCCTTTCCCCTTTTTTCTGGGGCAGTTTATCTTTCTTTTCGGTGTAGTTATCTTTCAGGGATGGTTGGGTAGCCTGAACCTCCATCCTCGATTTTTGTGATTTTGCTGCTTTGATGAAATTCCAGTCCAAGGTCAGCAGGTAACTTCTAATCACAAGGGGACAGTGTTGCCAACTCTAATTATTTTTCTGTACATCTCACAGTATTTGACTTATTTTTTTCCCTTGTTGTCTACTTTTTGGAGTCATAGCAAAAAGTCAGTCTGATCTAGTTCAGGATGTCCCTAGTCATGGCATGAGGGTTGGACTAGATGACCTTTGAAGGTCCCTTCCACCCCGAACTATTCTGTGATTGCAGTGTGAAAAGCTAAAATTAAATTTAAAAAAAAGGTAAGTTTCTGGCTTTTATGAATCCAAAGAAAAGACAATAAGAGGCAAATATTTAAATGTTACAAATCAGAATGGAAATGCCCAAAATAATGTGTTTTGCTTAAATAAAATAAGAAATTAAAACCTGAGTTACGATTTTGAATTCTTGGGGTTGGTAATATTGGAAAACCTCTGTCACTGAGTGTGAGGACTCAGTCGCCTCTGCCTGTAAATGATTTTAGCCTAGTACTAACCTCTGTTCCTACTCCCTTTCCCTGTCTTGGGGAAGGAATGGTTATCAGTGCACGAGTGTCTGATTCAGCACGCAAGGTAGGTGTGTTTGTGCATGAGCAACTGTCATTTTATTAGAAATAATAGTTATTTTGCTAAAAAATCTGAAATTTGCATTAATTTTACTGTTAGAGTAGATTCAATCTTTTTGGTCAGGATAAAACCATTTGTTCTTTTTGCTTTGTCTGCAGCTTTTATCTGCTATCAGTGGGGAACATTCCATGCAGCTAAAATTGTGATAAAGAGCTTTGAGATTCCTAAGCGCTTGTCCTAGGCAAACCTAGTCTAGATGGGTAGCTAGCACCTGCTCTGGCAGTTCTTTATGCTAAGCAGTTACTTCCATTTATGATGTCTGAAAGGGAAAATGAAAGTGTTTGCCCATAGCCTTGGAGACAGGTCATAATCATAGGCTGAACATAATAGATGAAACCCTGGAGGTAAACATCAAGAGACTAGAATTCTCTTTGAAGGAAATACTGAGCTTTTATCTGTTGCTGATATTTGATAAGGGGTTGGCAAAAGGCTGAATGAGTGAATATAATAAAAGGTCTAGAGTTGTCATTCTTTATACTTAATAATTGTTTTCATTTGTTACAGTCTGGTGCCTGCAAAAGAAAGGTTGTTTTTAATGTGACTGAAAACCTGATCTGGGGTCTGCAGTGACTCTGCTTGTTCCCTATTATTGTGTTACATGAAGGCATGGGGGAAGTGGGGACATTTTAAGTGGAGATTTCATGACACAAGGCTACCTACAAATTCAGTGTTCAGTAGGCTCAAGCCAACAACTGTAACTTTAAAGTGGCTCACATAGCTTTTAGAACCACCTTCTAAAACTCTGTTGGATGATAAATTTTATTCAAAATTAAATAGAGATTAAGGAGATGAGGCTTCTGAAAAAGTCACAATGTTAATAGATGGGATCAGCCCTCCTGAGTTCTCAAGTAGGTTCTGAAGCCAAAATATCTAATTTCTCTATTCATTCTGGGAAACTTGATTTCAGAGAGTTTTGATGTCCTGGGTTTTTTATGAAAGTAGATAAGCATTATTCTCTCTAAGGGTTGGTGCTGCCATAGTTCTGAATTTTTTGCTTTAACCAAGTCTCAGTGGGAATCACTATCTTGAGTTCTTTTTATTTTGTTTCTTTTTTTTTTAATATTCTTTTTCATTGTTCTGTTGCTGAGAGTTGTGTACTTGTTCTCATATCTGTTTGGCATAAAGAATACGAGTGGCAGTTGTGCTGTTGTAGGGATGTATACGTACATGAACCTATGATATCCTCCCTCATTTTCTTAAGAGAAGATGTTGCAGAGCCAGATCGAGGTGCTCATCAAGGAGAACAGTCCCTCTGAGATTTTGATTGTTTAATTCTACATTGAGTGCTTTGCTGAAAATTATAATATATCCCTGTTTCTGAATTCATCATGAGTAAGGTATTTCAGCGTGTGTATTTGTGTAAGGCATTTTCAGCCTGAGCTTAGTTTTTAAAATGCTGTTTGTGTATTTTTCCAAACAGATGCCAGAGGAGCAGGCGTTCTGTGTATTTGTGAAAATAATGTATGACTATGGCTTGAGGGACCTCTACAGAAATAACTTTGAAGATCTCCATTGCAAATTTTTCCAGCTGGAGAAGTTAATGCAGGTGGGACTTGGGTAACAAATTCTTCTAATTTTAGAAATGGAGATACTGGCATGGAGAAGACATTAATGCTTTGCTTACATAAGCTACTAGACAATGAAACCCTTCTCCTTCTAGAGGTAGGGTAGAACCAAAGGAGGGAAGTTTAATAACTGGATCCAAACTTTGTGAGTCAGATTTATTTCTGATTTGTTTTCTCTTTCATATACCAATCTTGCTGCCAATCTTTGTGTCCAAGCAGAACGGGTATCTGTTTTTTCTTCTTCTCTGTTTTCTAACTCTCTTCCTAAATTGTGATATTGATTGTTCTGTTAAGGCCAGAGTATCTTTTGGACTGCCATCTGTCAGTATCCTACTTTCTGTGAATTATGTCAATGGTTCAGAGGTCAGGCAAATCAGGACATCCTGATGCTTATGAAATACAAATCAAGTGTAGGTCATTTTGTAGATTTTTACTGTGTCTTAAGTACATGGTTCTTTTTTCAGAAGGAATTATTTCATAGAGCAATTTAACACAAATAAATGGCTGCAAGTTTTCCACATTGTTATTCTGACTAATAACAAGTTATTAACAGTTCATTAAGCCTTGACCTGCACTTCTGTTAGCATTGTGGAAGCTACCTACTGAAGTCAGTTATCATAGATGATCATATATGCTTCTGTGAGAGATAGTAAAACCAAACAAAACAGACCACTATGAATTTAATGATTTATTTTTCTTCAGATGTCAAATTGTGTGTATTTCCTACTTGATGAAGTAGAATTATGTACTAATTAATTTGTTACTTCAGCATATGGTCTTCTCCATATTTACATACATTAACAACGATTTTTACTTTGTTAACAGAATATGGATATATTGCCCATTTACAGTAGGTTTAACAGTATTTATTTTGTGTTGCTTATATATGGCCCTAGTTAGAAAAATTGTCTGATGGAGTTGTGTGCTTTGTTACTTTCAAGCTCTGCAATGTGATCTCCTTGTGCTAATACCCATTGACTTTTATAGCAGAAGCATTTATAGAAAGACACAGAGAAGGAATAACTTAAAAATATGCCCTATGTATGATACAGATTCCACAAGTGTCTTTTGACTGTTGAAAACTTCATTTGTAATTTCTCAACATAATCTCAGTATATTATCTGATACCATGATAGAATCCACAGTGGGTATCTTACTAGAAAAAATCCTGTAACCCTGGGCACTGAAATATATGAAGAAACATATTTTCATTGCTCAAAAGAAACCAGGATTTCACTTTGTTGTATTTTTCAGTGTTTAGGAAGCTGGTACTTACTGACAGTGTAGATGAAGAGCACAGATTAATGAGTAATACCGAAGGTTTTATTTTTTTTCCTTTACCCTAGGAGCAGTTACCAGACTTGTATGGCCATTTCTCAGACCTCAATTTGGAAGCTCATATGTATGCATCCCAGTGGTTCCTCACTCTTTTTACTGCCAAGTTTCCACTGTGCATGGTCTTCCACATCATTGACTTACTACTTTGTGAGGTAAAAACACCTTGAATCAGAAAGCCCTTCGTCCATTTGACAAATGTTTGTTCTTTTTTTTGTTTTATTGAAGCAATTTGCTGTTTAATTTCAAAATATGTCTGCCTGAATTATGTAGAACCCATGGTTATATCGATGAAATGATGTTTAATGAAATGCTGGCTTGGTTTTAAAATTAGAATCCTGGATTGCCTCATTCTTTGCTAAGGGTTCTAACTAAGAATATCTGATGCACACATCTGTTCTTCATTTAATTTGTTAAATAATTTATTCAAAGTTAGGAATTCTGTTTTCTGCAAGATGCCTAGTAGTAAAAGCCTATCAGGCGTTCAGAGGAAAAGCTTTTCAGATTGCGTGATTCAGAGTGCCCAAAGACAGTAAGAGTATTTTATCTTGCTTTGCTGGTCTGATATTAAACAAATAGTAAGAGGTGCCAACCAGTACAGTTGAATGGCACTCTTCCCTTTTGTTTTTTTGCCCTACTTTTCCAACTAAGAAACACATTACTCCAGATACAAAATAGTGTATTTCTGTATCGTAGCTGTATCTGGACTTCCTTGAAAAAAAATAGGCCAATTAGGTTAATAGTCTGGAACACTTATTTTGTAATATACTAGTACTTCCTTTTGTTACTAGGAAGTCAGGGCATCCATGGAATTAAACCTGGTTTTGAACATGCCACTGATTTCCTCCTCTTGATTTAGATGGGTCACAAACGTAAAAAAATACAAATAAATAAAATAATTGAAAATTTTAAATGCAAAGGGCTTCATGAGTATGAAGCACTGTTGATGCTAGTTCATTTTAATTTCTATTGTGAGCTGCTTTCCTTGTGAATTTTTAGGTTTGCTGCATATGCCTTAATAGCATTAATTGTTAAACAGGTATTGTCCATCACTCGTAACTCAGTAATTTTTTCCTCAAGAGTATTGATTCTTCTACATGTTGGTGCTCAGTTACCAAAAAGAGGTAATACTGCCAGGGTTCCAAGTGAGCATGAAAGGCAGTAGCAATGTTGAAATGATCCCACATTTCCATATAAGTACATGAGTTCTGTTTCTTACACAATGTCTTGATTATTTTAAGTAGGCTAACAGAAAAGGCAGAAAGGCTAGTTTTTCTGCTCTTTGTCCTCTTCTTTGATCCTGCAGTAGATTAACACAATCCCTTGATCACTTGTGAACCGTTAGTGTTAATTTTCAGAATGGGCATCTGGTGTGAATTTGATAATTCTTTCTCAACTCAGTTTATTACTTCATTTGGGTCTCGATGTAGAGCTGCATTCAGGAATTACCATTTTAAGAGATTGTCAATAAGTACAGAACATTGTTTCATAATTGTGATTATTGTGATAGCAGCGTATTTACAACCTGTCTAAAGCTTCTGTGCTTTTTATTATATTAAGCTTGATGATGGAATAAGCTGAAGAAGTCTTTATACTTCTATATATAGTATAGATATATAGATTTAATTTTTGGAATGAAAAAAAAAGAACTCTTAAATCATTTGAATTCATCTCGCATCTGGCAATGTTTATCTCGGCGTGTTTGAAGGAATTACTCTGGGAAAGAAGGTGAAAGAATTCAAGGAGAAAGTGAGAGAGCGCAGCACTAGAGCCTGGAAGGAAGGGAAACTTGTTAGAATTTGTGGAGGATAGTCACATGAAACTAAGGAAGCCTCTTTTACAACAGCTAAAAATAAACCAGAAATGGTAAGAAAATTGATTTCAAGTGAGAAGATACATACAGACATCTTGAGAAACAGTGGGGCAACGTGTAGACAACATACTGAGGCAACAGTGTAGACTATCAGAAAGCTGCTCCTAAGATCCAGGAGTCAACCAGTCTAAAGGAACAGGCACTTCTGAGAATTTGTGGGGGGAGTGTAGACTAAAATCTTATTAAAATAAAAAAACTAGTTGGCTCTCATAGCAGGAAAATAAAATCTGAAGGCATATGGCCATAGACTGAATAAAAAAGAAACAATTCCTTAATGGAGGACTGAAATCATATTGTAAAGCTGTCTGTCTCGTCAGCCTCCAGAAGGAGTAATGGAGCAGTCAAAAAATAATTTTTGTCTGCATTAAATTGTTACTCACTTTATCTCTGAACAAACAGCATGCCTGTAATTCCAGAAACTGGAAGGAGAAAAAGGAGTTGCAGCCGCTAACAGTGGAACATATTCTTCTGGAAGAAAAAAAAAATCCTCAAAAAGCCTTTGAAGTGAACTGTTACGTTTTTAAAAAGAAACTTCCAGCCTTCTCATTAATTTGTCATAGATAGAGATGAATTTTAAATAGCCTTCAACTTCCTTCCTGACTGTGCTTTCTCACATCCCTGTCCTGTCTGTTGACAAAATGTGTACATCCTATATAACTCTTCTATGAACGAAAAATATTAGGAATAAAACCCAAGTTTAAAACCGTTGCTGAATGAGTGCTGCCAACAATTCATTCCAAGGGAACTTCTCTGGTCCCTGTGCAAATACTTTAATTATGGCTAAACAATTTTTTGTGAAGCAAGAGGTTTTGTATTGGCTGCTTTTTGAGGTTTTGACTGTGGCTGGAAGAGTGAAATGGTACATACAGATATCCTGTAACCCTCTGTCCAGAGAGGAAGAATGTCTGTTGGAAATCTTACACTTTCACAGCTTACCAAGGAGGCATGTTTTTTTGCACGGTGGAAGAGTAGCACAAGATGGGGTGTGGACCTCCTGGACAGGAGCATGTCCAATGAAAAAGTAGCTACATTTATGATGAGAATTAACTCCTCTGGAGAAGTTTTTTAAATCTATAAAAGTGAGTGCCATTACAGTCAGGGTTTTTTCATCATTCTCACATAATGACGTAGAAGGAATAATTTCATTTAAATCCATACAGATTTGGGACTTCCCATAGGCCCTCTGCGATAGAGTTCTTTTATCTATCAGCACTTCTCATCTAGAAATGAAATACTTTGGAATTCTTTGTTTTTCTTCTGACAGAAACCTGAATAAAATTTTGGGCTTGCAGGCAGATACTCCATGGTGCCTGTAATAAAAACACAAACCTGTTCATCCAGTTGAAGATTTTCATGTGATTACAGCAGACTGCTTGGCTTTGAGTCTGGCTATAGGGATAAATTTTAACATGTCAGCATTAGGTGAAGATCTTTCTGCAGTGTTCCTTTTAGATGCTTGTTTCAGCCACTTCATTTGTCTCTTCACCCTTTGTTATAGGTTTGCATTGAAGAATGACTTTGTCGATCAAATTCAGAGTTGTGTTTCGACTTGTCAGTTTTATCATTCAATATGACATTATGTTATTGAACACTTTGTGAGCCTGTTCTGTTTTGCTGTCTCTTTCTGTTCCATTTTAAATTATTTATTTAAAGTCATGCTCAGAAATAGAGACTCATCTAGGTAAATCTCATGTCACTTAGAGCTGTCCCCAGTGCAACAATTGCACCTGGTTATGTTACAGATTATCAAAGAGTTGACATTTTTTTTATTTTGCATTTTAAAATGTTTGATTTAAAATTAAAATGTGTGTTTTAAAAGCACTAAATAAGTGACCTTAGTTAGGCATTTTGAAGAGAAAAAAACCAAACAAGTTGGCAGACAATTTGCGAGCATTTTTTGATTTTTCTTTTTTCTGCTTAAAAATTGCTAACCAGTTGTTATATATACAATACTGCAAAACTAAAGGAGGTTCCTCCATTATTATCCTAGAATTCTGAGGCACTGTTGGTAACTTCCATTTTATGTTGACCTGGCTATTTTTGTGTGCAGTTCTTGATAATGCAAAATGGAATCATAGTAGTTAGGGTTGGAAAGGACCTTAAGATCATGTGGTTCCAACCCCCCTGCCATGGGCAGGGACACTTCACACTAAACCATGTCACCCAATGGCTCTGTCCAACCTGGCCTTGAACACTGCCAGGGATGGAGCATACACAACCTCCCTGGGCAACCCATTCCAGTGCCTCACCACCCTAACAGTAAAGAACTTCCTCCTTATATCCAATCTAAATTTCTGCTGTTTAAGTTTGAACCCATTACCCCTTGTCCTATCACTACAGTTCCTAATGAAGAGGCCCTCCTCAGCATCCTTATAGGCCCCCTAAATGCTTAAGGATTGTGCTTCTCTCCTTTTAAGGAGTATGTAAAACCCCCTACTACATGCTGCCTTTTCTGGGCTGGTAAAGATATTTGTATATTTGGTTTAGTGTCAGTAACTACATAGTCTTGTTACAGAAATTACTAGTCTGGCTACCAAGCTGCCATTCTGTGATCAGGACTGAATACAAAGGACTGCAACTGATTGTCAGTTTTGCATATAAAATAATTAAATGTTTTCCAACATAGCTAATATCAAAGTGAAACTACCTTTCACAGGACCACACAGAAGCACAGTGCAAGAATTAGGAATTGAAAGCTAGATACCATCATTCATTGGCCTTTATTTATCAACTGTTGCTTTCAGAACTTTGTATAAAATAACTTTTATCATCAGTTTTGTGAAACTATTGGTGATAATGAAGACTGATGGGAGTTTTTAAAAACCTTTACAAATATGAATGACTTGCTGCTAGTAAATGAGCATGTATTGATAGTAAAAATGTGTCACCATGTTGTGTAGTGCTCCTGGGAGCACTGCTTCATAATGAAATAATGAAAAACTTGGAAGAATTATAACTATTGGTGCTGAATATTTGATTTCTGTCTTACGTGTCTCACTGAATGGATGTGTCAGGAAACACTACGCCGTATGGTATCACTCAGACGATAAGACATGTCGTCTCTGTGTGTTAGTACTCACTTAATAGTAGATACTATAATAGCTTGCTATTTTTTATCTGTCACTGTCAGATACTTCTGTGATGCCTTCAACAAAGTTGAGAAGGAACAGATTAACAATTTATTAAACCTCCTCAGGAACTGAGACAGAAACAAGCCCACTTCCTCTGTAAATCTGTGCTCAGATGAAATGTGACTTAAATAAAAGATTGGATACAGTTGTT